ATATATGTTGTTTCTTAGAATAATGAAGGACTTGGACTAACCTCAAAATATACAGTGTTATGAAGGTAGAGTTTTCTCTCTTTGAGTGATCTTGTTTCTTGTCCAGTCTCCAAATGGACAAGGCACACCCTTGTGGAACCACTGTAGGGGCTCAGAGATCCCATGTGCTCTGTTATTTATCTGCTCTGAAGTTATCAACACTAATAAACGTTGTTGTTATTAGCACCATATGTATTGCTTGTGGTATATATTACCTTGCCTCTTGTACAACATGAAGTTAATTAATATTTTTCTGTGAAGGTAATCCAATGTCTGATATCTTCTCCCCATAATATTAATTGATGTTAATATTATAAATATTTTTTTAAAACTTGTATATTTAATGTTAAATCTAACCTTTCTTTATTAAGAACACATTATACTTTTAAGGAACTTTTAAAAGGAATAAATATGCAGCCGGGTGCGGTGGCTCACACCTGTAATCCCAGCACTTTGGGAGGCAGAGGCGGGCAGATCACGAGGTCAGGAGATCGAGACCATCCTGGCTAATACCGTAAAACACCATCTCTACTAAAAAACTACAAAAAAAATTAGCCAGGAGTGGTGGTGAGCACCTGTAGTCCCAGCTACTTGGGAGGCTGAGGTAGGAGAATGGCATGAACCCGGGAGGTGGAGCTTGCAGTGAGCCAAGATCACTCCACTGCACTCCAGCCTGGGCAACAGAGCGAGACTCTGTCTCAAAAAAAAAAAAAAAAAAAGTAATAAATAAGATGATGACAATAATGTATATTGTTAATGTTGAATTAACTTTCAGCACCTGTTTATTTATGGTAGCTTCTACTAGTTTGACACTTACTGATCCTTATCAGCCTTGCCTGTCAGAGCACTACTTGCTCATATTATATACTTGTATGTTCTCTTTGTCTTCATATGTGCTCTATCTTTCCAATGAGACTGTGAGCTCTTTGTGGATAGGGACAGGTTAACTGATTCTTTTGCATCATGTTATGTTAAAGTGATCCCCCTATGTCAACCTCCTGACTAACTGAGATTACAGGTGCCTATATATATATATGATTTTTAGTAGAGACAAGGTCTTGCTATGTTGCCCAGGCTCGTTGTGAACTCCTGGGCTCAAGCAATCCTCCTGCCTCAGCCTCTGAAAGTGCTAGGAATACAGGCATGAACCAGTGAGCCTGGTCTTCTTTTGCATCTCCATAGCACTTAGTACAAGGCACAATACAGGCGCAAATAAACATTAGATGAATAAATCATCTGAGTTTTTCCTCATTTTAATTAGCTGTAAGATAAAGAGAAGGAATGTATTACCTATTAAGTTCATAGCACATAGAATATAGCAGACATATATTCCCTTATTTTATTAATGTCTATTAATATATCTATTAATGAAATAATAAAAAACTTTAGAAGAAAATAAACTAAGTGAAAAATTATCCCTACTTCTCCCTGCTCTGCAATGACCACAAATAAGAGTATAAAGTACAACTGCTATTTATATATCACTTTGTAGGTCTTTTAGATCCATTATCTGACATGATCCTTGTAACAACCAAAGAATTCATATACAGCTTATTAATTTTTTTTTGCAGAAAGGGAAATCAGGGTCCAGAGAGGTTACATAGAAGAGCCTGGATGGAAAAGGAGATGTAATATGTAAATTCAATCTATGTTAATCTGAGAGACCTAAAATTACAAAAAACAAAACTGTCTCCTATAAGCTATTCTTGTAAACCTTATAAAGACATTAAATTATTTATTTGTTTATTTAAATCTTAGAGTATTTTAAGTGTGCCTGTGATATATAAAGTACTATCCTTCCAACACTGTGGAAAATTAAAAGTACAGATAAAGATTTTAAGATTTATATAAGGAAATAGTATGCATATTAATGTGCTAAAATAATGGTCTAATTAGTTACCTGCTTTTCTGGGGGTTCAATTTCACGTATATTAAAAGGTCCACTTAAATAAGCTGGGAAGTTTGTGGAAAAGCTTAGGATTTGAGCTGGATCAAGATGGATGGGTGAAATTTTGATGGTAGAAGAAAAGCAGATTATTACAATAAACAAGATTTGGCAAAGATGCAAGGGGAGGAACACATATGTGTTGAGTGAGTAGATTGGACTAGGTGAATTCTCATTAAGAGAACAGTGTAAAGATAGCTTGGGGTCAGAATTGTATACTGTCTTGAATGCCAGGCTAAGTATACATTTATTACTTCATGTTACAGGTTATAGAGTCATTTAAGGTTTCAGAGTAGAGACATGGTATGTTGACAGAATGTGATGGAAGGAGGGAATTGTATATAGAGAAGTTGAGGACAGGTGTAATAATCCAGGTATACAATGACGAAGAACTGATTTCAGGAGTGTTGCAAAGAGACTGATTTCAGGTATTCTGAAGGAAAGTTGATGTCCTAGATACTTCAAGTTTACATGCCCAAGTGATTAAGAAGAACGTGGCTCTTAATCATATTGAATATTTAACTGGTCTGGGGTAGGGCTCAGATTAGTCGTTTTCTTAGGCTTTTCAGGTGATTCTAATTACACCTAAGGTTAAAAAGCCATTCACCTGGGCATTAAAAAAAAAAAACAAAACTGCTCTTAAGTCTCCCAGCCTCTGTACTTCTAAATGACACATAATTTTGTCATTTTAAATTAGATCCTATACTAAAACTTTGACTTAATTTCATTTCAAACAACCCCTTCTATTGACTGCTCTAATTCATTTTAAAGTATCATAATTTTTTGTTGTTGTTGTTTTGAGACGGATCTTCACTCCTGTTGCCCAGGCTGCAGTGCAATGGCACGATCTCGGCTCACTGCAACCTCCGTTTGCTTCCTGGGTTCAAGCGATTCTCCTGCCTCAGCCTCCCGAGTAGCTGGGATTACAGGCATGCGCCACCACACCTGGCTAGTTTTTTTGTATTTTTAGTAGAGATGGGGTTTCTCCATGTTGTTCAGGCTGGTCTTGGACTCCTGACCTCAGGTGATCTGCCCATGCTGGCTTCCCAAAGTGCTGGGATTACAAATGTGAGCCACTGTGCTCGGCCAAAGTATCATAACTTTTATTATGTATGTATATATGTATTTATTTGTTTTTGAGACAGTGTCCACTCTGTCACCCAGGCCGGAGTGCAGTGGTGTACTCTTGGCTCACTGCAACCTCTGTCTCCCGGGTTCAAGTGATTCTTGTGCCTCAGCCTCCAGAGTAGCTGGGACTATAGGCATATGTCACTGCACCTGGCTAATTTTTGTATTTTTTGCTAGAGATGAGGTTTTGCCATGTTGCCTAGGTTGGTCTCAAGCTCCTGGCCTCAAGGGATCTGTCTGTCTTGGCCTCCCAAAGTGCTGGGATTAAAGGTGTGAGCCATCATGTCTAGCCCACAAATTTTCTATTGGGAATTAAGTCATTAAATTTATCTCTAATTTCCACTTTCCTACATCATATTCAATAATTTCTTACAGCAATTCAACCTTGAAGATCCTTCTTTCTGTCTTCCTTTTATCCCTGTTTGCTCCTGAGGTTATGGCCTCCCTACTTCTCAGCTGGGTTATTGTAACGGTTGCACAATCAGTTTCTTTACTTCTTCTTCCAATCCAATGCATACTTTGCTCCCAGGTTATCTATTTCAGTCTAATTCCCCTGCCAAAATTAATCTCTGCTCTCCAAGAGCTCACAGTCTAGTGGCAGAGATGGCCATCTGTACCAAACATTATGACAAAATGTTAAGTAAGGTACATAATGTTTCTCAGCTTTGATCCCTCTAGGCACTTTGCTTTCATAGGTTCTCAGCTTACTCTTATTGCAGAATCCTAACATCATTAGAGATGCCTCTGGGGTCACTACTGAATCGGAAAGCAAGTATATAGAACAGAGGTCTATTTGTATAAGCTAGAAAATTCTCCCAAGTAGATCAATCAGAACAATTCGTTTTTGTTAGATGTTGAGATTCTGCATAACATTTTCATTAAAAAAAAAGTGACCCCATTACTAAAAACAAAACGCTTAAAAGCAACTGCTTTATTTATATTTTCTATTAGAGTCGTCTATATGATTAGCCAGTCTTCTCTCCCCAGTGGACTATAAACATGACATGGATTCTATTTTATACAGCTTTGTATCTCCTGCGGTGCCTAGAAATGTCTAGCACATAGCAGGCATTCAAAAATGTGTTTTTTCTTCCATGTCTGATGGGGACAAAAGTGTTAATGTTAGTGCTTACAGATTTTCAGAATGTAAAAACATTTTTGCTTCCTTGTACCAACATGAGTCAATAGCTATTTTGAAATCTATAAGCACTAAGATAACACTTTTGTTTTCATCAGAATTTGGCATTTGAAAATGTCCAGATATGGAGTTCTGAAAAGTTAAATTCAAGAAGGTTTACTAAGCACATAAATGCACAATGTACTCTGCTAGTTAATGTAACAGAAATGGAGCCAGCGAGAGAAGTCTAAAGGAAGAATATCATGAATTTGCAGTAACACAAAATTCAAAAAAGGAAGAAGTTTGAAGGAGAAGGAAGTGATCACAAACTTCAAACATTAACAAGATTTGAAAAGGAATGAGGATTATGATGATCTTAGATTTAAGCAAGTTACCTGCAGGGGGTTACTGTCAGGATGTATGCTTATTAAAAGAATAAACCACTTATTGGGAAGTTTGACAATGGGAAGAAAGAGAAATGGAACAGCAGCTATAAAAGGTAATATAGATACAAATACAAGTCTTTGTCCACAGAAGAAAGAAAGAACAGCTTATGTCTGATGTCAGAAAGAGTAGCAAAAGAAATATCAACGGCTAGCAGGAAGTGTGTATCAGTGAAGCGGCATTATGAGTTCAAAAGGAATGAGAATTAAGGTTTTACATGTTTACCAAAGATTGATTATGGGAACATAAAATATATTGAAGAAGTAACAGAGTTTTAAAATATATAGTTTCTTATTTAACAATTTGTATCGGATTATTAGTTCTTACCTTCACCACTCTCCATGCCTTCTACAAAAATCCCCCCACATTGGGGAAGAATCCAGTACCGGCGTCTGTAACGATCCTGGCCAAACATCACTGAACGCAATGAGTGAGAGGCATCAAAGAGCTTCCTTCTGTACTGACTCTGTTGCTGTTAAAAAATGGTACATATAATTAGGTTTGGGATGTTAAATACTTTAAAAATTAATGTATAAGTAACTTTATACTTTTATACCTTTAAGCACATAAATTTCACTACTGGGAAAAGAGCAAAAGGGCTAAATATTCATGCCTGACTTCAATTTCAGTAACATTTATAAAGATAGAAATCATTTTAAGGATAATTATTTTTGTTGCCGTGGACTAAAAGGATAAGTTACCTGAGAAAATAAAACTTATCCTTTTACTTGATAATAAACAATGGGATCAAGTATTTTATGGAGCCAAAGCAAACTGGTTCAATTCAACTCTTATTGATTACAGTATATAACTAATAATACATATAGGCCAGGCACAGTGGCTCATGCCTGTAATCCCAGCACTCTGGGAGGCCGAGGCGGGTGGATCGTTTAAACCCAGGAATCAGAGACCAGCCTTGGCAACATAGTGACATCCCATCTCTACAAAAAAAATATGAAAAATCAGCTGGGCGCGGCGGCACATGCCTGTAGTTCCAGCTACCAGGGAGGCTGAGGCGGGAGGATCGCTTGAGCCTGGGAGGTCAAGGCTGCCGTGATCATGCCATTTCACTCCAGCCTAGGTAACAGAGCAAGACTCTGTTTTGAAAAGCAAAGCAAAACAAAAAACAAATAATATATATGTAATTGGCTAAGCCTGTATTTGCCTATTTTTACACTCAGGTTGTAAACCTAGACATCGTATATTTAAGTTTTGGGATAGGTCTGTGAAGAATCTAACATTAATACCATACGCAGGCATGTTGTAATACCTTTAAAAAACTCATTTTTGTTCTTATAAAAAGCTCATCTTAAATTTCACTAATGCTATGAAATTCAGTTTTTATTTTTATTTTAATTAAAAAAAAAATAGAGATGGGGTCTCGCCATGTTGCCCAGGCTTGTCTCAAACTCCTGGGCTCAAACAATTCTCTCACCTCAGCCTCCCAAAGTGCTGAGATTACAGGTGTAAACCACTTCTCTTTAATGAGAAGTATGTAAATACGTACACTTTACAAATCCAATGCAAATAAAACCCACAAATATACAAACGTAAAATAAGACCTAAGATGCTGAAACTATCACTAAGAAATTCACCTGAATTTTTTAGTAATTAATTCCAAGAAATAAAACTATGCCTTAATTGATATTTCATATTTATATGAAGAGCTGAAGAATATAGAATATTTTCTTTCTAGGCTCTGATTAAGTTCAATATCGTGTTTTAAGAGGCAGGCTTTTAACCTTAGCATTAAGCTTGTAAAGTTCAATTGTAAGAATGTTTCTAGAGTTCGTCATCTTATTTTTTGGTGACAAAAATGCTAAATTCAGAATCTTCATTTTTAATTACTCCCCAAAAGCTTGTTTTTGCTTAGCAGTCAGAAAAACTAATCCCCATACAATGTAGATTTCTAAAACTCTGTGAAGATGTTAAATGTTAATCAGAAAAGTGCTTACTTTACTCAGTTTTTCAATCTGTTTTTCCAGCTCTTCAACACTTGCTGCTTGGTCACCTTCATCCTATACATAAGAAAATACAGTGTCATTTATCTGTTTTAAGATTTATTTATTCAATCCATAAATATTTAATGAAAGTCTCTTATATGCAAAATACTAGAAGAGGCACTGTATAAGAAGGTATAAGACTCAGTTCTTTTCTATAAACTAATAATCTGGTAGAGAGATACATAAAACGTTATATTAAAAAACACACACACACACAAAAACCTAGGTATGGTAGCTCATGTCTGTAATCCCAGCACTTTAGGACACTGTGGGAGGATCATCACTTGAGGCCAGGAGTTTGAGACCAGCCTGGACATCATAGTCAGACCCAGTATCTACAAAAAATAAAATCAGCTTAGTGGCTTATGTCTGCAGTTCCAGCTACTTGGGAGGTTGATACAGGAGGATTGGTTAAGCCCAGAAGTTCAAGGCTCAGTGAGCTATGATCATGCCACTGCGCTCCAGCCTGCAGACCCTATCCCCAAAAGAAACAAAACAAAACATAACAAACCACACACACAATAAACTCCCCCAAAAGCAGGAAAAGTATAAGGGTCTCAAAGAGAGGTAGTGATTAAAACCTGTGAAGTTCAAGGCAGAGTAAGATTACTTTTAGTAGAAATATATACCAAGGGAGGCTTTATAGAAGAAGTCATGTTTTAATTAGCTACTAAAGAATGGTTAGAAATGCATCCATCAGAGAAAAGAGGACAGGTCTCATGTCTTGACATGAGAGGTACATAAAGAGGTAAGGTAGGAGATGAGGCAAAATGAGTTTAAGGCTAGATTTTGAAGACCTGTAAATGCTTGTCAATTAACAAAATGATCCTTTGAGGGAGGGTTAAACATCTGAACTATGCTTTCCAAAGGTTATTCTGGCAATAGTTGTAAGATGGCCTGGAGCAGAGAAGGGATTAAAATTGGTAAAACTAGCTAACAGACTAGTTTTGGTTTAAAACTAGCTAACAGATTAGAGAAGGAGGGATATGGTTCTTACTAGGGTAAAAGAAATAAAGATGGAGAAAAGCGAATGAATGTAAGAGATACTACATAGTTATAGAGCTGTTGAGTCTTGTCAACTCATGAATATGTGGCACAGAGGGGCAAGGGAGATGATGGAATAAATAAATTATGATGTTAAGGTTTTAAATCTAGGAGACTGGAAAAATACTGATACCATCAATTGAAGGAGTTATTTTTGAAGGGAAGAAGATTAGTTATACTTGAACACATTGAGCTTTTAGAATAAAAATAATTCCTAACATGCATAGTACTAATTGCATAAATAGAAGGTTTGTAAGTAATTACGTGAAATTTTTCATTCTAGAAAATGACAACAGAAGAACTATCTCCAAATTTTAGGTTTTAGAGGGAAAGCATGAACAGAAGGTACATGGGTTTCTTTGGATCTTAGCTGCACTACTAGACATAGGCAAATTACTTAACCTTTGTAAGGCTATTCATCTGTAAATCTGGTGATAATGTTACCTATTACATGAAGGTTTTGTGAGGACTAAGTAAGAACAGATCTGAAAGTAACCAACAGTGTTCCTACTTTAAACAAGACGGAGGTACAGCTCAGATTAAAGAAAAATAACAACTTGTTTTTGATGTTTACTTCCTATCAGCATTCATAAAAAGCCACACTGCCACCAACCACACACAAACATGTATTTCTGACTAGTGTGGCTACCTACCCAATGAAAAAAAAAGTGAAAAAAAGACTGCCATAGTTTCACCATTATCTCTCACTCATCCACTCCTTACCCAAATTTAGGGAACCAAGTTACAAAGGTGTTCAGGCACATTATTTGTGCTAACAGTAACATGAATTCTATTTGGAATTAAAAGAAACCTTAAAAGATAAGTAGCTCAACAACTCTTAAATCTTGACTCTTATGTGAATATTTATAAATAGATTCTAAAGTGATCTTCTGATCAGCAGGACAAATGTCTGATAATCTGTTTATGCAAAAATACAATTCAATCAATAAATATTCAAAATAAGATATCGAATATTTGAAAATGCCATGTATCAGCCAAATAATCTAACTGCAATTTTTAAGACTCTTCCTACAATGCAAAAAGAAATAAATAAAATGTCTCCTAAAGTTTTATTTAAAGGAGTTTTGGCTAATAGTACTTAAAATTTTCAGAGATTAAAAAAACGTGGAAGAACAGAGAGAAAGGTAGTAGCAGCAACAACAAAACTAAGAACACAGAATCTATACCACAGTTCCCCAACCAAAAAAGAGTGTCATTATATGTCCCTATATGTCAGAGTTTAATTGTCCACATAACCTCTCACAGGCCAACTTGTAAGGTTCAACTCCCATAGGTCTCAACACAACTCTATGGAATGAAGGAATGAAGAGTGAGGGGAAGAGGGAATCCTCTTTGAGATAAAGGTGCTATGATCCAGTCAAGGGCAGTATCTTCTAATCGAAAGGGATCATATGGGTCTCAATAAGAAAACCTACCTGCAATCAATCCTTTAAGGAAGGTAACTACCAATACTCTACTTACAATTTAACTGAGAGGTCAAATCTATTTTTTGAGAACTAATGTGCCTAAATTATCAGTTTCATTAAGTAGTCAAAATTTTACTTATATAGGAAATTGATGTGTCTGCCAGTTCTTTATTATAAAGAATAATTCAAATCATTTAACATGAAATGTTAATTTGACTTCTCAGGTCCTAACATTTATTACTTTATAAAATTGTGAAATTGTTTTCTCACATTACTAACAAGATCTACCTTTGCCAGTGAAATCCTAAAATCTATTTAACTCTATAATTCAACACTCATAAAAAAGTGAAACACGACCAGGTGCAGTGGCTCACGCCTGTGATCCCAGCACTTCAGGAGGCCAAGGCGGGCGGAACATGAGGTTGAGATCAAGACCAGCCTGTCCAACATAGTGAAACCCCAGCTCTACTAAAAATACAAAAATTAGCTGGGTGTGGTGGCAGGCACCTGTAATCCCAGCTACTCGGGAGGCTGAGGCAGGAGAATCGCTTGAACCCAGGAGGCGGAGGTTGCAGTGAGCTGAGATCGCACCATTGCACTCCAGCCTGGGTGACAGGGCAAGACTCTGTCTCAAAAAAAAAGTGAAATACTACCTTAAATGACACATCTCCTTTAAAACTTTAATAATGATTTTCAAATAGTTTATGTGTAAAGAATAAAATGTATGGTTTGTTAGTTCTCTGTTAAAAAAGAAACCAAGTGAAACAAATAATTTCTGTAAATAAGTTCTAGTTTAGTGAGATAACTATACAGTGGAATAAACTAAAATCTCAGTACATAGTTGTCCAAGTTATTGAACTTACGAGTTAACACTTTAAAACAATTTATAATGTGAAGTGCTAAAAGAGGCCACTAATTCTATGAAAAGGTGATTAATTTTGGTCAGAAAGTCTTAATTCCTGCTATGGAAACAGGTCCACTTGCCAAATGAAGCAGACTGCTTATAAATGTTATCTTTTGTTTGGGTAATTACACTTCTGATACTCAAATTATATGCCCTTCATATTATTTGTCACAGATGAATGTACATAATTTGGTAGTTTCAATAGTACAATATTATGAAATAAATTATTTCTGCAAGGAATCTCAATGTAGACTCATTTTCAGATTGGTACTATTAAAAGCAGTAAAGTCAAATTCATTACAATGAGTTCTTAAATATGACATGAAAAACGCAGGGAATAAAAGCAAAAATAGACAAGTGGCACCGTATCAAATTAAAGTGCTTCTTCATAGCAAAAGAAACAACAGACTGAAAAGAGAACCTACAGGATGGGAGAAAACATTTCCAAACCATATATTTGATAAGGGGTTAATATCTAAAACATATAAGTAACTCTTACAACTCAATAGCAAAAACCAGACAACCAGATTTTTAAAATGGGCATAGAACCTGAATAGACATTTCTGCAGTGAAGACATACAAATGGCCAACAAGTATGTGAAAAGATGTCCAACATCACTAATCAGGGAAATGTAAAATCAAAATCACAATGAGATATCATCTCACACCTGTTAGAGTAATTACTCTCAAAAAGAAAGAGAAAGAGAGAGAGAGGAGTGTTGGCAAGGATATGGAGAAATTGGAACTCTCATACACTGTTGTGGGATTGTAAAATGATACAACCACTATGGAAAACAGTATAAAGGTTCCTCAAAAAATTAAAAATAGAACTATCTGATCCTGCAATCCCACTTCTGCATATTTATTCAAAAGAACTGAAATCAGGATCTTGAAGTATTTGTGCTGTCATATTCACTGCAATGTTATTCACAATGGCCAAACGGTGAAAGCAACTCAAGTGTCCATTGATGGATGGATGAATAAACAAAATGTGATATATAGATACAATGAAATATCATTCAGCCTTTAAAAATCCTGCCACATGTAACAACATGGGTGAACCTTGAGGACATTATGCAAAGTGAAATAAACCAGTCACAGAAGGTCAAATTCTATATGATTCCAATTATATGAGGTATCTAAAACGGTCAAACTCATAGAACCGGAGAGTAGAATGGTGGTTGCCAGGGGCTGGGAGGAAGGGGAAATTGGAGAGTTACTATTTAATAGGTGTGAAGTTTCAGTTATGCAAGATGAATAAGTTCTAGAAAGCTGTTGTACAACCTCATGCCCACAGTTACCAATAGTGTATACAGTATACTTAAACATTTCTTAAGAGGGTGAATCTCATGTTAAATGTTTTACCAAAATTAAACAACAAAAAAGAAAAGTTCATTCTAATAATTTTTACCATTCTGGTTTAAAATATAACATTGGAAAGGAAGAAATTATGACAACATTTTGTACTCATATTTTTACTTAAGAAAGAGAACTGCATAGTATAAGTTCTACATTCATTCATAAATCTGATTATCATTGGTGTCAACTAGATACTATTTTCACACATTCCATCAATAAAATTCATCTCTCAGCTTTCTTTCACATTCCACTGATAAATTCATCTCTCTAAGCTTTGTTTATTTCTCCAGCATTACTGAGTTGATGCAAGAAGGGAAAAGAGGTCTTTCTAGACTTCCTTAGCTAAGTACCCTTAGCATTGAGAGCAGAAGAAATGGTTAGCTGTATGTTGTTTTTTGAGTTCAATTCCACAGCTCTAGCTAGCATTCTTTTCTGATAAAAGGTGAACTTCAACGTTTTATACATGTCCATTTTCATGACTTACAGTAGCTTTCCCTAAACTCAAATACATACATACACACACACATCCCTCTATGACCTTGCCTTCTTCCCTTTGACCTACTCTTCAAAGGTAGCTCCTTCACCTTGATTGAAGCCCCTCCAAAATCTTTAGAACCTTATAGCACTGTGCTTTTTAAATTTCTTTTATCTTAAATCCCCGTCTCTCATTTTACTGACTCTTTTCTTTCCATCAAAAATCATCTCAAGTCCAACATCTGAAAAATCCTTGGCTCCTTCTCCTCTCTAGGAACTCCCTGTCTTCTGAGACACAATGCTTGAAACAGTCATCTTCACTTTCTCACTTTCTATTGTAATCAATCAAGTATAGCCTGGTAGGTGTGCTCATCCCTCTAAAAAAACTGTGTTGACACTGCTTACCAATGACCTCTATGTTGCCAAATTCAATCAACATTTTAGGTCCACATCACACTAGCCTCTTACTGCTTTAACATTGTTTATCACTCTCCTTTTTGCAATGTTTGATTTTCTTGATTACTGTTATTATTACATGTGTAGAAAAGACTTAATACAGCAGGCCTGACTGGTATCCTCTGGAAGGCCTTCTTACAAGATTGGTCCTTGGCTGGCAATATGGGAACTTGGATTTTGGGAGGGTTAAGATGAGCTCTTAACATGGACCTGTACTATTTGCACTAACCATGTGGATTATGCTGAATACCTGCTCTTCTTCAAAGAATCTGATATTTTGGCACATGCTATGCAGAGGGTACCTACGCGACCAGCTCCCAGTAAAAACCTGGACACTGAGTCTCTAATGAGCTTCCCTGGTAGATAACGTTACATGCATGTTGTCATAACTTGTTGCTGAGGGAATTAAGCCTGTCCTGTGTGACTCCGCTGGGAGATGACTCTTGGAAGCTTGTATCTGGTTTCCTCTGGACTTTGCCCATACACTCTTTGCTGATTTTGCTTTGTTTCCTTTTACTGTAGTAATTCATTGCTATAAGCACAAGTATATGCTGAGTTCTGTGAATCATCCTAGTGAATCACAGAACCTGAAGGTGGTCTTGGGGACCTCCAACTCATTATAGAAATCTCCAACCTGTCTGCTTTTGCTTCTTGAACAAGGAGCCTTGTGGGCTCCTATTAAATACTGATGATCCCTGAGGTTCCAACCTCAGCCCACTACTCTATTCACTAAACCAATCCCCTCCTGCAATCTTACTTACCTTGTGATTTTAAATTATCATCTACATGATAATAACACCCTGATCTATACTTCTAAGAGTGAACTATTCTTCAGGCCTCAGATTCCTAAATCTAACTGACTGCTGAGTTTCTATACACAGGTACCTCAAACTCAGCAAGTCCAAAAATAAATCATCATTTCCTGTCTTCAATTACCTGTTCCCTTACCTCCCCCTGCCCCCAAGTATGTATTTACTCTCTTCCTGATTTCCCTATTTTGGTTAATGACAACAATAGCATGAAGTCTTCCAAACCAGATTGCTGGAAATCAGTCCTACCACTCTATCAACCTACATGGTTCACCTTCCATCTTCAAGTTCTGCCCATTCTTCCTCCTAAATATTTATTAAATCATTTCCTCCCTCATCCCAACTACCGTTGCTCTAGTTTCTACCCCTCACAACTCACCTAAACCATTGCAGTATCTCCTGACTGATCTCTGCACCTCTGATTTTGCCCCACCTTTTTTCTTTCACATAGCTGCCAGAGTGAGTAACTTAAAAATTAATGCTGACCATGCCATTCTCTGATTATAACCCTTCAGTGGCTTCCTGTCACTAAAAAAGCAAAAGATCCTAGTTCATCATTGTTGCGTATGAGACTCCAGTAACACTGAAGCACTTGCAATCCCCTTAAAGCACATTTTGGTTTCCTGTTTCTGTCCCCTTGCTCATGCAATTCTCTCTGCCTGGAACACTCTTCCCTAGACCTTTACCCAGGTTAATGTTCAGCTCAGCTTATAGTCTCAGCTGATGGATCCAGAAACTCTGTGGGAGTTTATCACTCAGAAAATCTAAATGCTCTTAAGGTGTATCCGCGTAGTACATTGTCAATACCCCTCTCAAAGCAGTTAACACATTATGTTTTCTTTTTGCAAATCCTCCTCAGTTAGACTGTAAATTGAAATGGGACGTTCAGTGCCTTATTTGTCTTTGATTAAAAATACCTAGAACTACACAAATAGTAATTGGTGTTTGAGGAATGCATTATTTTCACTAAACCTGACAACACTTTTAAAGGCATGAAGTGCTGTACAAATGTAACACAGTACGTTAACAGAATGAAACAGAATACTTGAAATTAAAAATCTGCATATCTCTTTGGAGAATTCTCAAGTAATTATATTAAAAAAAAAACTTTTTAAAATTAAGTCTTAGTGTCTTTTATGTATAGACATTCTATGAAATATTTATATAACCATCACAAAAATCTTTATGGGACACAGATTGTAATATTTGTTTTTCAGATGAAGAAACTGAGGCAAGTAAATGTCAAAACTGAATTCAAAGCCAAATCCATCTGACTCCAAATTCTGTTTTTAAAACTATGTTATGCAGTTCTAGTTGTCTTAAAATCAACCAAATTTGATTACCTCATCTTCACAGATATCAGTCTTTTTCCCTTTTTTGTCTTCTTTATCTTCCTCGTCCTCATCATCTTCATCACCTTGGTCATCACTGTCATCATCATCGTCGTCGTCATAATCACTGTCTCCTCCCTTCCTTCTTCGCTTGCGTCCTGGAGTGGGTGTGCCCAAGGGATGCTGCTCTTCTCCAAGATCAATGCCACTTGAAGTGTCTCTTTTGCCTGTTTTCTTAGCATGAATGATTCTGAGCCTTTAAATATTACGAAAAGTGATGACATGGAAAAAAAGACTTCTCAATATACTTTTAAAAGAGCAAAACATGAGTTGTATGCAAAAATACCTTATGGCATTTCTTTTGTGTTAAGCAATATACCAATGTTAAAAAAATCAGAATTAGGAAACTTAAGAAATGTTTCCATAAATTACAGGATGCATTAACTTTCAAGAGTTATTCTGGGTATCTCTTTGGAATTAGACTCATTAAAAAAAATGATGAAAACTGAAAAGAAGAATTCTAACAACGGTTGAGTAATAATTTCTGATCCCATACTAACTGACTGAATAAATTTCAATTCAAATTACTACAAAGAAACGAACCTCTTAACATAGGAGTAATTTCTGCATGATATTTTCTGGCAGGAAGATAATTAAGTTTTAATGTTGAATAAGTTTAGTTAGATTCCGTAAAAGCAAATATTAATTAGAAAGCACTTAAGAAAGAAAGTTACAGTTCCAAACATTCTATTTGTGATAAAAGCAACTTAATAGCAACCACAATCTTAGAAAATGTAATTGCTTGACTTGTTTAAAAGAAAAAAGAGAAAATGACTTTCTTCTAAGTATGAAGAATATAAGCTCAATGAATCTCATTATATCTTTTGTCCACTGCAAATTCTGCCCCTGAGTTTTACTAATTTTATATCCCATCTAAATTGAGCATTATCTATTCTTTAGACAATAAAAGTTTAAATTCTATCTTTGCAATTCATATGCTTTACTGGGAATTTGTATAAAAAGAAAACAGTACATTAACTTTAATAAAATAGGACTTACTTGCGGAGTTTACCTTCTACCACCCATTTATCTCTCCTCAAGTTTGACATATAATCAATGTTCTTGTCGATTTCACTGCCAATGCAAGAATTTATTAAAAAATATAAATTAATCAATTTATGCAATGCACTAATTTGATATGCAATAAATTTGATATGTAAATTAATGCATTTTTGAGTAAATAAAAATGATACAATTGCCCTCATGCATATACACGTTCATATATATATGTGTTTATATATGTATATACATATGTTGAAAAGTGGTAACTTCTCCAATGGATACAACATTAGTATTAGAAAATTCACTGTGGTTTCTATCTTAAACCAAGAAAGAAACTATGCACCAATTGCCTTAGAAAGCCAGCATTCCAAGTTTTGTTGCATGTATTTAAGATGTGATAATTTCCAAAATCAAAGCAGGATACCAGAACACACATGGATATTTACATAAGTGCACATACATACATATGCATATACACTATCTAAGTGTATATGTATAAACAACCAAACAGAAACTAAGAATATTATGATATCTGGTAAAGTCAAATGGGGTGTTTTTTCTTTCTAAGGTAAAAACTGTAGTGTACCATTTTCACTGAATTTGGGTGTATGTGTTTTGAATAAGTGCCACTCAGCATTACTATTTGTTACCATGCTCATGCTTAAATGAACTTATTCTTCCATAAAATTGTAAGATGTGAATATTATTATGTTTTTTGGGATGACTGTCAGTGAATAGCAGAAACAAACAAAAAATTACACTAATACAATATCATAGCTAAGATAGGCACAGAAAATTTAAAATTTCTACACTCGTAGAAATGCATGACTCTGAATATTTGGATTGATCCTTTTTCTAGAAAGGTGAAGGCCTAAAAGTTGTTAAAAATTTGTAAAATAATGAATAACAAGGACAAGATGAACATGAATTTGTTCAGAAATCTTGAATACTAGTGTACGTGTTGGTATTAATATTTTATTAGTAACAAGTACTAGAGTGAGAACTCTGACTTTTAAATAAGACCAAGTACTTTAAAAAAAGTATAAATTAATACAGTGATAAATGAATACTCCATGGTTCGATTAGCATACAACAAAATAAAAAGTGGCTACATAATTCTATGAATGGAAAATCAGGTAAAGCAAAATCAGGTAGTCATCTGTTCTTAAAAAATGTGAAGGAAAAAAAAATTCCATATTCTTGTGGTGGTACCACATTCTGGTACCACAGCAAGTAAAAACATAAGGGAAGTTATGTATAAAGAATTAACAAAATTATTAAACAAAACAGGTGACAAAGACCATGTATTACAGACACACAGTATGACCCAAATTTTTTTTCAATACACTACAAAGAAATACATGAAAATATTGTTAGTGGCCATCTCTAAATATTGAGATAAGCACAATTTTAATTATCTTCTTTATGCTAGTCTGTAACTTTCCAATTTTCTATAATCAATTTGTATTACTTTGTGATTAGAAAAATTCAAAATGGAAAAAAACATGGATAAGCCTGAGCATATGCTCACCTGACCACACTCTTGCTGCATGCCAGTTCATTGATCAGGAAAGCCAGAACCGAAGCTTTCTGTGCTGGAGTGTGAGCCTGAAAAGCTTTGGTCTTCAGACTTTCAGTAAGCTCAGTTTGTCCACAGTGGGCTTCCATAAATATCTGTAAAATCTCGGAAACATTGTCTCGATTCACACCAACATTCAGCAAATGTTCTCCAAGAGCTGTTTTAGCCTATAAAAGTTTGGCATTTTTATCAGTATTGCTCATAACCATTTATACCATAAAAACAGTAAGATTAAAAATCCTCATATTATTTAATTTAGATACTACTGACAAGAGCTTTATTCACTTTTTTTAAATGAAAGAGACACAAAAATAGTCAATAGAAAACAGACAAATATTCAAGTACTTGTATCTTTCTTTTCCCACTTCAAATCCTTGGTTCCAAGTCAGGCAGGGAGAAGAGTATGCAAATTCATGGGTAGCAGAAGTTTTAAACTACCTATCAAGTCTTCCATGACTACAAAGGCAACACTAACCTTTCCCTAGGTTTTATCTGGACATTTTATCAGGAATGACAGAGTGGGGAGGTTAAAAAACAGTATTGTGTTTTCTACCTTTAAGGTGTCATAGGTTTTACTGGCTAGGGAAAATAAATAGGGAAACACTGAGGGAGATAGAAGAAAAACAGGTGCATCTGGGAGGTTCTCTCTCCACAATATTATCTAGAGCAAAGCTCTGTGGAATGTGTACTGTATTTGGAATTAAGATAAATGTGAACTAATTGAGCATCCACTGAGCAGCACAGGGTCTTAATGTGCTGGTCTGTAGGTGCCTTGATTAGCTTCAGTTATTCACAGTGATTGAGAGAGAACAAGGTATAATAGTAGAAGGCACATACAAGTTCTAGTTGCCTTATGAATTATCAATTCTGTTGTTGATGAATATTGCTTAAGTATTTCATTAAATTACCTTGGTCTTTGCCTACAGCTAGAGAAAAAAAGAGTAACTTGAGAATGGTCTATATTCCTTAAGCTCTATAACCAGGTTTTCTTTGTATGAAGTGTAACCTGACACGAATCTACATTTAACTTTGTGAGACATTATGTGGAAAAATTAGATCAATATACATAACCTTCTGCTAATACACTAAAGCTATCTACCAATGCACTGACAGTACAAATTTAAAACATTTTATATTTTGTTTTTTTTTACCTTGTATCCTGTTATTAGACCTGGATCACATACAGCAGCTGAGAGGAGCCTCACAAGCAAGTCTTGTACTTCACCCATGCTGTCCCCTATATTTAGCAATCCCTCTTGAAGAACACTCAGGTTTGGAACATCAATATTCACATCAAAGCCCAAAACTTTACCAAAGTTTCGTAAGAACTGCACCACCATGAGACAGTCTGAAAATGTACTTCCAGAGAGAACAAGTCCTGGAATACGAGGCAACTCTGGCAAAGGCTGAAAATAAAATAAAATATAAATAAAATAAAAATAGCTTAATTTTCTAAAAGCCACGATTTCATATCTTCTAAAGTAAAATAAGCTGCTACCTTTTTTTTCCCTCTTGTATTGTACCAGTAGCTTCCTTTGGGATGCTAAATTCTCTGGGGGCATTTCTGTAACCCCCATGGAACTAAGCATAGTGTCTTGAAGTATCATCATACAAGTAAGCAACCATTAACAAATTTTGGTTGAACTCAATTATGAACTTAGATTTTTGCAAAAGAGACATTAATTTTAATCAGCTTGCATATTCAATCAACTGACATATCCATATTAACAAAAACATGGATTATATAACTAGAGCAAAAATTAAATAAAATATAAACATTTTATAAGTACTTAACCATGGACATACTTACAGGGGCATGTGTACCAATTTCTTCTAATGATGATGACATTTAAAAATCATACTTTTTTTTGTAGCTTAGAAACTAACAGCATGCATCTGTGGGCTCTATGGTTGGAGAAAGTGGTATCATCTATGGCTAATGAATGCAGATAAATAACTAGGTCCACATAACTAGAAGCCATGACCCTGTACATAAACCCAGTTATAATGCAACTAAAGGTCTTTAGGTTTCCCTGTATTTAGGCAAGTATTAGCTTCAGTATTAAAATTAGCTATCTCTGTTGCTATTTCTCAAATATGCTCACATATTAACATTTTAATGACTTAATTGCAGTACCAGTTGTCATCAACATTTTAAAAATTCAATAAATAGGTAATCTAAATTAAAAATATTTTGCCCGTTAATGAGAGCCTTAAAAAGTACTTGATATTTTAACTGGAAAAAAGTGACATAAATATTTCTATTTAACTGAATTGGTCCTTGTTCAAAAATATTTCTCCACCCTGCATTTATTGAGGTAACCAGTTGAGACTTTTTCTGTTAATACTGTGTGGAAACACAAAACTATAGATAATAGCTCATCTCATAAAAATATTTTATATTCTTCTTGAAAAGCAGTTAATTCTCATTCTCCCTTTTTCTTGAACCACATGAAACATACACATTTCTAGGTAATTCTGAAAATTTATATAACAAAGCTGAGCTAATAAAATATGGCTTAAAATGAACTTACATATTTGATATAGTACATATGAATTTAAATGAAAATAAAAGATACAAGAAAATGAAGCTCACTTAGGATTTAAAAAGCTTGATCACTATGAGCTTATTAAATGTGTTAACTAATTTATATACCCATTCTCTGCTTAGGAAAATTTAAACATTCAAATGACTAAAACTAGTAAGTACACTCTCATTTTTATTTAGAAGCATTTATGCTAAGTAAACAAATAGCATATTAATATAGTTCAATCCATTTTAGTGTACTAAAAGTTTGCTTTAAGCACTTTAGAAAAGAGCTTACATAAATGAAGAGATAACCATTATTTGCATATCATTTGAATATTGCATATAAGTAAATACATATCCTGCTAAGGAAGTATAATAATATAGAGATGAAATGCATTATTGATATTTTTCTAGAAGTACCATCTTCTTAATTATAGTCAAAACATAATTGATTTTTACTCAAAAATGTATGAAAATATGCTGGTTGCCAAGATTACAGCAATCTTTCTAAATTTATACTTTTATGTATTTCAGCAACATTACACATCTGTGAAGCACTATGGAAGACAAAACACATATGAGGTACTTTCGTTAGACACAGTTTCTTGGCTTTCAGGATGATAAACAGTATAGGCTCTGGAGTTTAACAAACTGGAGTTTGAATCCAAATTGCCATTTATTAGTTGTGTAATCTTGGGCAAGTTCCTTAACCTCTTTGTGTCTCAGTTTTCTCATATGTGAATGGGAAGAAATACTAACTCCACAGGATTATATTGAAGATTAAATAAGAAAATTCAAATATGTGCTTAGCATAGTCCTAGCATGCAGTAAACATGTTCAATAAAGGTTTGTCACCTAAAGCACTGAAGGAGGTCATAGATTATAAATCTGAATTTATTTAAATATCTATAGGGGTGTGGGGAGGAGTTAAGATTTTTCTGTGCCTGGAATCCCAGCACTTTGGGAGGTTGAAGTGGTTGGATCACTTGAGCCCAGGAGTTCAAGACCAGCCTGGGCAACATAAGCGCCTATCTCTACAAAAAATTAAAATAACAAACCCCAAAAAACTAGCCAAGAATGGTGGCAAGTGCCTGTGGTCCCAGCAACTCAGAAGACTGAGATGAGAGGGCCACTTGAGGCTGGGAATGAGAAGTTGAGGCTTCAGTGAGCTATAATCCTGCCACTGCCCTCCCTCCAGCCTAAATGACAGAGTAAGACCCTGTCTGAAAACAACCAGCCAACCAACCAACCAACCAACCAACCAACCAAACAAACAAACAAAAAAACTGCCATTACCAGCACAAGAGCTCCAGAGAGGTTTACTGGTAGCTATCTAGGAAAGGCAAATTGACCTAGAGTTGGAAATTTACTGCTATAGTTAAAAATGAAAGGCTTTCACAATAGCAGCTCTGGCAAAGAAATCAGGTAAGAAAACTGGAAAAATTAAACTTATAAATGGAAATGGTATACATGACGTATAAATTACCTTTTGGTCCGCTAAGCACATGTCTTCATTAGGCTTCTTTAGTTCCTTTGCCATTTCTAATTCTAATCTTCGTTGCTCTAGTTTACGCTCTTTATTTAATCTTTTCTCATCACGTTTTTCTTGCTTCAACCGTTCTTTTTCCTTAAAAAGAAAATCATGTACACATATTCTTCTTAATCATTATATATGTTGGAATAAACTTAGAATTATGTAGCAACAATGAATTATTTTGCTTTTCATTAATCTTACTCTCTAATTTTCAAAATAATCTTATGACTGTATATATTTAATATATTAGATTCAACCTAGACTATTTTGTTACTCAAAATTTGTTCAATCATTTGCCAAGTTATAAGAATAAAATACTTATTAATAAAAGCAGATACATAAAATGCACATGGGCAACTACATATCTTATTAAATAGTTATTAGTACAAATTTTAGTGTGGCTCCAGGAAGCATATGATTTACAGTAGGAAAATGGAAGTACACGTTTAAATGTGCAAAAGCAGTTCTTTCAAAGTGAATTAGCTAGTCTTAAGATAGCACCTGTGATGAAAGAAAAATATTATTCACCACCATAAACAACACTTAAGAGAGGCAATGTCAAAAGCATTAAAAATGTTCTGGTAATGGCAACAATATGGAAATAACTGACTTGTCTCTCTGTTGTAGGGAATGACTTTTTGTTGGAGGAAGTGATTTTCTATTATAATACCATTATCATTACTTTTTCATTCTATCTCAAGTATAGCTCTCATTTATTTAGAGGAGAAATAACAGTAGAATCATCAGTCAGTTCTAACCTATTACCGCACATGTGCCACACATTGCTAACTGGTTTACTTTTGTAAGGCTCATTATATCTCTTCCTTGATTAAAAGTCTTTCGATTTTCTTTTTTTTTTTTTTGAGACGGAGTCCCGCTCTGTTGCCCAGGCTGGATGCTGGAATGCAGTGGGGCGATCTCGGCTCACTGCAACCTCCGCCTCCTGGGTTCATGCCATTCTCCTGCCTCAGCCTCCCGAGTAGCTGGGACTACCGGTGCCTGCCACCATGCCCGGCTAATTTTTTGTATTTTTCAGTAGAGACGGGGTTTCACCGTGTTAGCCAGGATTGGTCTCGATCTCCTGACCTTGTGGTGCACCCACCTCGGCCTCCCAAAGTGCTGGGATTACAGGCGTGAGCCACCGTGCCTGGCCGTCTTTCGATTTTCTATCAAAATAAGGTCTAAGTCCTTACTTTTGAATTCCGGACTCTTCTTTTCTAATCTTACCTCTCATATTTTTTTTCTGTGTAGGTTTAGAATTTCCTATTCCTGATGAACATTTATTTCCTTAGCTGCTTATATTGGTTCACTCCAATCAAGAAGTTCATTTTTCCCATCTTGCATATTTAAATCTTAAACACTACCAATTTCTATTACATTTCATAGCTCCTAACTCTGATTTTAACACAGCACTCATTGCTTTCTGTACTATATTACTATTTTTGCCCATATTCTAATTATCTCCATTTCGATTGTCACTGGTAAGTGAGCACCCTGACTGCTGCTGGAGGGAATGGCCAAGAGGGAGAAAGAGAGGAGTGGGGAAGAACATGGGACCAGAGAGTAGAGAAAGTACAGTGTGTTTGAAAAATTGTTAGCAGTTTCAAAACTGGAGTGTAGGTTGTGAGTTGAATAGTTGCTGAATATTATGATAGTCAGAGGGCCAGATCATAAGGGACGTCTTATATGACATGCACAAGTTACTGTTCATTTTTATACAGCCTCTGAATTTCTGGGTTATTGATTCACGCAGACATTCTGGGAGGACAAACTATAAGGAAACTTATGACATTGTTGACACCAGCAAAGTTTTATAATTAATTTTACCAATTATAAACCAAAAAGCACTTTCTGAGGTTTTGATTTTCAAATCAAATTATTAGGTAATAGCCTGAAGTACTATTATTACTAGCCCTTACAAAAGGGCAGCAGAGTCACTGGTAGAATAATTTTTTTCCCCCTAGAATTGAAATTTCGATTCTTAAACACATGAACTGTTGCTCTAATAACTTTCCAAAGAAGGGAAGATTTAAGTTTTTGGTTCCTCACCAGAGTAATGAATTAGGATCACTAACAGAAAAAAGCATATTAAATATCTCTTACTGATTTGAAAGTAGATACTGTAAAATTTTCTGCTGCACTCATATGCCACATGATGTTTGTCAATAAAGAATTGCATGTACTACAGTGTCTATGCCACATAGCCCAGTGTAGCAGTCTATACCATCTAAGGTTTGGGTACGTCTCTCTATGATGTCTGCACAATAATGAAATTGATTAATGACACTCTTCTCAGAATGTATTGTCATCATTAAGTGATACATGGCTTTACATAGAGCTAACTCAGATCTCTTAATGATGTCCATAACAGCAATTATAAACATAATAATTGAGATTACTAGTTACTAGTTGTTAAAAATAGTTACTATTACTTTTTAAAAAGTGTGACACTGATGCTTTTTTCACTGTGTCAACTTCCCATTGGTAGCAACCCTGGAGGTACATACATACTCAATAGACACACAGGCAACAAGCTAGAGTGCACGGAATGCCATAAGTATGGATTATATGCTTGGAGTATCAATTTTAGCTGGTGATATGCAATACCTTTTTCCAATTGAAAAAGTATAATATGGAATAGAATGCAAAAGTCACATCGATATTTATGATAAAATGGAGATTTCCAAAAAAATTATAGAAATCAGTGTGACCTTTATCAGTTAAAGACAAGCATTTATTACTGTCTACTATCAGGCATACTTTAATGGAAATGTGGAGTCTCTCAATTCAGTATGAATTGTATAGAACTAATATAAATTCTGTGGTTATGGTACAAGTTTACTCTCAAAGAGCCAGAGCTTCCAAGGTCCCCTCAATCACCAACTAATATTTATAATGACGTATAAAGCCAGTCACAATCTAGCCCCACACAAGTGCTAGTCTCACATCTCACGATTCACAGTGGATTTCCCATGTTCCAGCCACACTGTGTGACACACCTGTATGGAGAAGACAGCGTAGCCCCTTTGAAGTTACTGCTTGGATGAATAATGACGATGAAGCAACAACAAAGCCAAGATGGGCATGTACACGAGGTTAAAATGGCTAATACCCTCTTTGTACCCCACCCCCAGGTCTTGTTTAGTCACAGTACTATACCTCTGTATATGCCATTCCTAGTGTCTAGAATACCTAGTTCCTTCACAAGAAGTCTGTATAAAGCCTGTTTTTGGTTTTTTTTTTTTTAAATTTTTAAATTGTTCCCACTTTTTAAAATCGTCCCCACAACTACTTTAGACATGGTAGTACTTCTTGTTTTTGAGCTTCCATATAACTTATTACAGCATTTGTTGCACTGTGTAGCAATTATTTCTTTAAAGTTGATCTCTCTCACTCAAGTATAAGCCTCTTCTAGAGGGCAGAGGAAGTTATTCACCTGTTTCTTCATGGACCTATTCAATTCCCCCCTGGACACCTGGAAAAAGTTTTTAATTATTTTATCTTTCTCTTTGACTCTTGAGCCTGTAACAGTCCAACTTTCCTCTCCCACTGGTCTCCACAGTCTAAGTATTGTTCTTACTTCTTATTACAGTAGTGATATGACTGTAATAGATACATTTGATATACCATGGCATATAAAAATTATTTGAGCATTTATAACTTTGCTGAATAATTAATTCTTCAAATGACATAAACTAAAATTATGGTAACATTTTGAACTGGCTATTAAATGAATTCAATAAGCAATTTCTTCTTCACTCTTAATATTTTACTCTGTGGGCAAACATAATTGCTGTCTTCCATTTTCAGTTAAGAGTATTTAGAAACCTTGAATCCAAAAGTGGAATTAAATACATTTATTAAGAATATTTAGATTACGTTTAGAAATTTAAAAATTATCTAAAGTATATTTTTCTAACACCTACTTCAACATTATTAATTTCTTAGCCATATAGCATGTACTGTGATTTGATATGCTTGCAAATAGATACCCCTCCCATAAAAATTAAACAGATTTATTACCCAATAATTTTGCCAAAAGCTAAAGTTTAAAGTAGCAGCACTACTTAGGCCAAAAATGAAGGCATGTAAATTTGTATAGTACTCTTGCTCCTAGCGGAAGAGTAATCTATTTATCTACTTTTTACCTTAGCCTTTTCTTGACAAAGTAAGCTGCCTTATTATGAACCTATATCTAATTTCTATAATATTATATTTTGTTGCTCTGCCAAATAATAGGATTTTACAATGGAATTTTGTGATTTTCCAAGGTCAGTTCATAACAGACCTCTGATTTGCCAGAGATAAGACATATTAAACCTATCCTAATATGAAAAGAAAGTTAAAACATATTTTATGTTAATATTGGTAAAACCGCAGGACAGTAACTTAGACTGTCTACCAATGACTACAAAATGTAGCTCTGGATTTTAGATTAACTATAAAGAATTCCAAGCGATGGGTTCGGTGGCTCACGCCTGTAATCCCAGCACTTAGGGAAGCCGAGGCGGGTGGATCACCTGAGGTCCGGAGTTTGAGATCAGCCTGGCCAACACGGTGAAATGCTGTCTCTACTAAAAATACAAAAATTAGCTGGGTGTGGTCATGGGCGCCTGTAATCCCAGCTGCTTGGGAGGCTGAGACAAGAGAATTGCTTGAACCTGGGAGGTGGAGGTTGTAGTGAGCTGAGACTGCACCGCTGCACTCCAGCCTGGGCAACAAAGAGCGAAACTCCATCTCAAAGTAATAATAATAATAATTATTATTTTTTTTATTTTTATTATTACAAGCAAAGCAGCATGCATCATCCTAATTTTTTTTTCTTTTTCCCTCTATCCCCACCCAATTTTCCAGATACAGAAATTCTTGAAATAAATATGGGCTCTTGGGTTATAAGTCATTTATAATAAAATATCTTTTTTATCATCGTAATTATATATTCTATGAAGAAATATAATATTATATAATGGGCTCTTTTTGTATCAAAATCTTACTAATATCTTAGTTAAGAAGTCAGTCAAAATTTCATTTCAAAGTTGAAACACCTGTTGATAGCAAATGCATTAAATTTAGATTATCCTAAAGAGTCTGGT